CTGAGAAAAGGCAGAGAGGACTTCAGTGTCACATGTGGAACTTCACAAAGACTGAGAAATAGGACTGATTCCATGATGCCCAGCAAAAGATCATTGGATCAGATCTTTCCTGTGTTGGCAAAACCAGTAATTAATATAACTTGCTGTTATTGGACAGCTTGTTTGTTATTAAAATTACCACTAAATATCTTAGTTAGAATTGAGCATATTTAGAACTTCAGTTTGTTCTGTTTTAATATAAGGTCTAGTATTAGGGTTTATGAACATTTTAGTGATGATGTCTGAACTGAAGCATTGTGAATCCCTCATATCTCAAAATCTAATCCTAATCTGTGTTTTCTCCTTTGGTCATTACTGTGACTATGCCTATAATTTTAATATCTTTCCACACCAAGAATAATAGAGTGAAAAATATTTCCCATCTTGATCTAAACAATAGTTTTTCAACCTTCATTTAATAGTGACTTCAGCCTCAGGCTTAACAAAACACCCCTGGAAGTGTTGGAGGCCATGTTGGCTGGAGCTCTGAGCAACCTGGTCTAGTGGAAGGTGTCCCTACCTATGGCAGGGAGCTTGAAAGTAGATATCTTTAAGGTTCCTTTCAACCCAAACCACTCTATGATTCTGTGATTCTATGAAAGCTAGCAAGGCTACTGCTTGGATTGCTCTGTGTTAATTCTGCAAAGTTTTGTTAGACACATATGGTTGCTGAGGGTTTTATACATGTTTGTCAGCCTGGTAGATTTATACAGTTCAATCACCTTCAATCTAATGAATCTTTAATTTATGTTTTACTATTAAAGGAAAATGACTCATCAGGTGGGAGATTTTGCTTCACGAATCTGCATATAAAACTGTCTCTTGATAATGAACACAGTGTAAACATTACTGTTCCCTTTAAAAATAATTTCCTATAATAATCATCAAAATGCTGCAATGTTATTATCACAAATTGAAGTTTTAGGTTCTTACTGTAGAGTACTATAATATTTTTCATAAAGGTCTGAAATAATGGTAATTTTTATTTGTAGACTTAATATGAAACAACATGAAGATTGTGAGAAATTGTATTTTCTTTCAATCCTGTTGCTTCATTTTTCTTTATTTTTCTAAGAAGAAATCTGCATTTACTTGAAACTATAGGGAACTGAAGATAGAGCAGATATTTTCAGAGGCTGCTGTAAGCCTCTGGCATGGATGCAGTTCAGACACTGAAGACCCTGGAGAAAAAGCGCAATTCAGATCTTCTCATTTAGGCCTTTAAGGTTTGAGTGGTTTTGTGGTACCCTGATAGACTACACTTATACAGACAGATATAAATTTAACCATAATGTTACCAAAAGAGAAGGAGTTACTTCCAAGCCTCACCTTTGTGTCTCACGGGGGAAGGTGTAGTTTTCACAGCCTGTGCATCCAAATGCACCCATCCTAAGGCTGTCATGTAACCCTACAAACAAATAGTCTTTTAAAATTACAGCAAATGCATATAATCTGTTTATACTCCTTAGTCTTTTTTTTCTTTACCAATGCCACTGCTACTGGAAAACTTGCAGTGCATCTAGGAACTGTTCCTCAGGAACCTGGTGTGTTTATGTGGTGTAACCCAGCATTCAAGAATCAGTTTCTCAGTAGAAAACAGCTGCACTTACTCAGCATGCCTCCTGCTTCCAGCCTGGGGTGTGATACCACAGTCCTTTAGAAAAACAGTGTCAGTTACTTCAATCCTCTCCAGAAAAATGAAAAGGATTTGTGTTTCAATACCTCAGTTAAAGGGCCAGTAAAACTGGGCTGTAGATTGAGGCTAGTCTGAAATTATCAGAGAGCACAGGAGTGACTACATGAAGACTTTCTACAACATAACATTTTCTACCAAAATATTCTTCAGATGGCTACACAGAGTCAGATACTAATACCAAAACCTCAGCTGACTTCTATCAGTGCAGTGCCTGAGATTGCCTTGCTCTAAATGACCTGCTCAGCACAGTATTTAGGATTTGCTGGATCATATCAAAGTTCGTTTTTATTGTGTTTTGCTCAAGTAGTCAGTAGGATGATCCCTAATATGAGATTATTTACATAATGTCTTTTGTAGTGACAGATGAAAGAAAAAAATCTGTCTTTCAATTTTAAAGTGATACCGATTGTTATTTGCCTATAGTACAGTGGAAAGAGAACAGCACAAACCATACCAGAGAAGCAGAAAAGTACACAGAATAATTCTAAAACAAACGTAATTAATTTAATGCAGTACATTAAAATCAGACATATTAACGTTAACATTTTAGTATTGTTAATGAAGGGCCCAGCTATTGATCTTTGCTCAGGCAACTGTCTATTGAATCCACTGGACTTAAATTCAGAAAAAATGTAGCCTAGTGAACTCTCAGTAATAACTTCTATGTAAGGTAAAAGCTTCTCTGAGAGAAATTTTATGAGAATTCTACCTCAACATGAATGTTAAAAGGCTTTCCAATTCATCATAATAAGAGTTATTAACCTCAGTTGAATGAAGGAAAATAATATTATATTTTGTTTAACCTCTGCAGCTTCAGAATTCAAAAATTATAGGTCTCTATGAAGAGATCAGAACAGTAAAAGCTTCAAAATTTTTCCCAGCTATCTCATTATGTGAAGCAACATAGTTCTCTCTATGAGGGGAGCTACTAGTTAGAATGATAGAAAAAATAAATTCAGATTATAAAAATATTGGATAATTTCATTTCATTAAAATTATTATATAATTCTAGTTACTGAACAAATTTGCCACAATCTCTTGACTCCTTGATGTGCACCCTGAATCAAACTGCTGTGGGATCTGAATGGGCAGTCAGGCAAACCCAACTTTCCCCTAATCCCTCTCTATTGGAGAAGCCTCTTGAAGAACTCAAGTGCTGTGACCTGTCAGAAACTGGAACCTGGCTATATGAGCTATCACAATTCCTACATTCCTTCTGTGACCTGTCAGAAACTGGAACCTGGCTATATGAGCTATCACAATTCCTACATTCCTTCACTTTTCCTAAGCAGTGG